CATCTTAGAAAAACTGACTATTTTATACGCAATGTTTAACTTTATTGGATTTCTTTTTTCACTCTTAAAAGGAATCTATAACACATGTGCTATACACACACAAGTCAATAGACAAGCAAGTGTAGCACGCATACTATTTGCAGGATTTTTTGGAATTTTTTCTACATCTATAAACAAAATTCTTTTAGACGCACAAATAAAAGAATATAACACAAAAATAGCAACAAGACAGAACACATACGACGAAGAACATAACAATGTAGATACAACACCAACAGCACCACAGTTACCACCCCTACCACATAACCATCCGTTATCCTTAGTCCCACGTAATTTCCGAAACCTAGCAATAACACATAACCCAAATTTTAGACCAAACATATCGCAAAGTCCCATACAACATATAATGACACATCATTACAAAATGATAATACATATGAACAAATTATAGAACCACCCCATACCACTGCTTTTCAGTCTCAAAATAATCATATTTTTTTAGCCCACGATGAGCCGACAACTTGGATCCCTACACCGCTCAAATTCCCACCCAACCAACCTCCACACTCCAATCCCAATTATCCCACTTTTTGCTTTCCCGCCACCCAATTTTCCAACTATTAATATACCATCAAGCATGAATTCGGATACTAACTCAGATATTTCAGTTTTATACTCCATCTCACAACTTAATAACTCTAATATAGAAACCCCTGACGAATTTGCAGACTCCGAACCATCTCCATCCAATAATTTTCAAACCAACTCCTCAGTTTTTTCAAAACCCCCTTTTCAACCAATCCCACTAAATAATTCACTCCCATCCGTTTCCACTCCTTCTCATGCTTCGCACGTAACCCCAACCTATTCTCCATTTCATTCCGACCGATCATATAATAATTCTCCAGATACCCCCCAAATTTCCCAAGAACTCGATAATTTTATCACCCTACAACAACAATTAATACACCCTAACACCCTCACCATAAATCAAATTTCATCCACAATAGAATCCTCAAGCCCACCTACTCCTACACCCTCCTCAGCTTTCACTGCATCATTAGCACAATCATCCACATCCACCAAAACATCGACTAGCACTCACCGAGCTTATCGCACTTTTAAACGAAAATTCCCGAATCACCCATTCCCTACCAAACCCGGAACAGCCTGCGAATATATTAATCATCCACACCACACTAACACGAAAGATTTTCTAGCAATCACCTTACCCTCATTCCCACAATATACTTTAAACACACCTAACGACACTAACGACACACGTAGTTTTGTAGATGAACATGTTTTAATGCCCACACTTCACTGGACAGCATATTACCATTTTACTAATCCCCTTTGCCTGCCACTATCCAGTACTCATAACGATATAGAAAAGAATAAAGATATGCTATATAGACTCACCGCAACACTAACACCTAGACAGTTTACTTATATAGGATTTAAAAAATTACTAAAAACATTCACTGCACCTCGTGCTAACGAATTTACAAAAGAATATTACGACACTAATATCATCCGAACTAATCAAGACCAATTTCTAGATGACGACCGCTTCGCTAACCCACAATTCACAGAAAAATTTTTCATAAAAACTTCAAATGTATTCACACTTAACATTTTTGATAGAAAATATGATCACATCATTTCTGAAGCACTAAATGATATTCAAGCTTACGACAGTTTTGAAGGCAAATTTCAGTTATTTTCACTAACCTTTCACTTCCTTGCACCACATGAACGCGATTTGCACTGTTCACACGACATTATGTTACGCACTAAACAGACTCATACATATACATACTATCGCTTCATACAAAATCTTTTTGATTTACATACTCCATCAAGACAACCACACCATCGTTTTCAGTTTTTTAACTCGAAGTACACTTCACCATTTTTTTCTTAATTTCACCTATTGCATCAAGAATACTAACCTCCACGGCATCCTCCGCAATTATGACCCAGTAACACAAATGTATATATTTTGTCCCATCACAAAGACCTTTAACGCCGAAGAATCCAGACCCTTCCTTATTCCACATGAATTTATCCAGCCTATAGAAATCCCAATATTAGAATTTATTCACAATACTAAATAAAATCACAAAATATATAACCTCATTCAAAACACACCTTATGAGTTTGCAGTAGGCACCGAAGAACTAAAAACCATTAAAGCACTTCAATTGCTTTGGCCACTGCTCCAAACTAAAAACATCATTCGCATACTAGCAAAATTACTAACAACATCGGACATAATACACGACATCTTTCCCCACGGCTTTTTCCCAGACGATTAACAGGTAAGTATAATCTAAAAATATTCTTAACTAATAAATTTAAATTAGTACTAACCATTCTTTATTCATGTTTCTTTTACATTTCTAGTCTTCATACCACGATCATCTGCAAAAAACAGAAAAAAAAATTATAAAAAATAAACTTGTTAAATCTCTTCTAAACTTCATTAATATTTTGCACAAGATAATATGATAAAATTCATACCAAATGTAGTAAATTAAATTATAAATTGTTTCCCCATGAAGCAGTAAATTTAATTACGATGAAAATTTATAACTCTAATTTTCCCCCAAAGAAGCAGTAAAATTGAAAATCTAAGTAATAAATTGATAAAATGAAAATGCAGTACTAACCTTTTGATATTTTCATTCACTCGCACAAGAATTCTATCCAAACTCGCACAGCTCGCCCACGAATAATTGTTTAAATAATGATTTTAAGTTTCAAGTTTTCACACTCAACAACTCCAACTCGATAACAAGTTTCAAACTTTCCCTTAACCCAGTTGGAAAGGAATTATATACTAAACCAAACTAACCAACGCAGCTTACTAAACACCAAAAATCATAAAATAACAGCATGACTAAGAAAAGAAAACCAACGGTACTCAAACCGGATTAACCTAGTTTAAAACTGGATAATTTATTCTTTTGAAGACTATTATAAAGTCTAAGAAAGAAATAATAAAACACAAAAAAGTCGCAAGACAAACCCATAACAAAAACAATTTAATTTTTGAAAAAAGGACACAACCAAAGAAACATAAGAAAGACGACCAACATAAACCCAACATAAAACGTTATCACATAACAGGACCTCTCAAAGAAACCGCACGAAATCATACTCCCACTCCTGGCCTAACCCACCAGAGAGGACGTCCTGAGCATGCTCTATAGCCGGCCTAACCCACCGCGCTACATCCACGCTTTGTGAACACACTTCTATTTTTAATAAGAGGTACTCAAGGGTGAGTAACTCTTCAAAATAACCGAACTAAAACAAAATGCTTTTGTGAAAACAACTAACTAAATTCATGATTAAAAAACCGAACTAATAAAGTTTTATAAAATGTAAAACATACCTTGCAGTATATAGATCAACACACAACAACAAAGACGAACATCCAAAGACAAAGTGATTCCATCACAATCGAACAAGAATGGCTAACCACAACCGATATGCCATCCACAATCACAACTCAAAAGATTTAGAGTACGACTTGACTTCGCAGAAAAGGACTTCATTGAACTAGACCAATGACCACCTCGATGTTCAAGTATACGTACAGATCCGAGTTACGAGGCATCCCTTCCACACACGATCTCAACGCCATTCCCAGACGAGGTTGAACACAAAACAAGTTCTCTACATAATACAGAAAAACCCGTCATAGCAAACCATTTTGAAATCAGATTGATTTCATTGGGAAACACAGTCGTTGTCACAAGACGACACAACGATTGATGTCCCTAACTCCAGCGTCCTGGAACTTCCTTAACAAGAGGAACCGGACAAGAATATGATGTTCGCCAAATACCAACGTTCATCATCCATCCTTTGAATTGCAGAAAGATAATTCTAAAAACTCTGTAAAACCCGGATGGGTGGAACCTGATCTAAACTATATTTTATGATTGAATAAATTGGATATTTTACCACTGTAAAGTATTTAATATTAACCAATCATGATCCATCTAACTAACAACCCACTTATTTGTAAGTGCTGAAATTACTTGTAATTTCAGCACCAGAGAGATTTGAATTTAACTTAGAAATTAGTTGTCTCTCCAAGGAAACTTCAGCAGCCGCAACAAACCAGTATACCCTAGATCTATTGAGCCTAGCAGAGACTAGTTAAACACCCTGAGACTAGAAAGTATAAGAGTAAGATTAGGATCGGTATTAGACTAAGAAGTTGCACGAATCTATCCGGCCGAAAATAAGATAGCGTGACGAGCAGACGGTGTACCCTGTCCGAAATTACTCTATGAGTTAACCACATCGGTCCTAACTCATAATTGTCCCAAATTGGCCAAAATGGCAATCTTTAAACCCCCATAACTTTACGAAAAATGATCACAGGTGAAATATCTTTACAAATTTGAGCTCAGGACAACAATACCTTTTGAATGATATAAAAAAACTCCGTCAAAAATGGCTAGTTAAAAAGTCGAAATTAGTCTGAAGAAAAAAAAACCCCACCCCGAGCACAAATATTCCGTTACTTTCGTATCGAAAGTCGGAACAATAAACCAGAGCCTTGGAATTTTACTTTGCTTTTTCTCGTCTTCTCGAGTGCTGAATATATGAAAAAAATCACAGAACTCAAAGAGTAAATTTGACCAAATTTGCCGAGTTTATTTCTTTCTGAATATAGCTAAAATGACTACAAAACTGCTCTCATGAATTAATAGTTAATGCAAAAGTGTAAGCAATATCGCTTCTGGTCAACGAACTTGAACAAAATTAATTTGTGTAAATCTGCTCATTTTGATGTCAGAATGAGCAGTTTCGACATTTTTGACTCATTTCAGCTTGTAAAATTGTGAGAAAAAACTAATTACCAAAAAAGCATTGTTTTGATCAATTAAGAAGCTCAAGATCACCCATATTGCCAACAATGTGAAATAACCATACATAATTTTTGTTTTGAAAATATGTAATCGACATCGACTTACTGTTGGGTAGATCTTCTGGTCTGAAAGAGAACCAGTTAATTTCCTTGAAACCGGCCAACACGCTTCTGCGGAACTCTTCAGCGTCGTTTGGCTGGGGCATTCGGTTGCTGTACTTTTTTGTAGAACGAAACCCCAGCAAGCAAAAATAAGAGCTGAAATAATTATGTAGTTCTTAAAAATTGATAAAACCAGTAAAGGCTTAAGGGGTATGGGTAGCCCTTTTTCGACTCCTTGGCCGTCCAAAAAGTGACTCAAAAACTTCAGAACAGTTTTGATTGATCAACCTTCAAATGGATTGAAGATGCTTGTGGCGCCAAATATGCTAAATTTCAGGGAAGGGTAATTTTTGAGTCAATTCGATTAAAAAGTCAGTTTTTGTGGCGCTAAGATGAACACGTTTAAAAAGAATCGACAAGCTTCTGAAAATCAACCCTCGAGAAAATCCTGGATGTTTTTTTTTCAGATGATCTTTCTCTAAAGATAGTCAAATTTTTATTGAGTACTTAAGCAGAGGTACTGAAAGCTTGACCAAACGAGGTAAACTTCCAAGTTTGATCAAACGTCTGCCTCCCTAAACACAAAACTTTCTTTTCATAATATTGCTTAACGCCAATTTTAAGTCGACACAAAAGTGAACTTTGTTGAAGGATTTACCGCCAATAATCAAAATGTGCTACTCGAAACAAAATTGGAGTTGTCCATTTCTGTATTTCGCTTACACATTGAGTTCAGTCGGGCCTAAATTTGGCTCATATAACGAGTCATTTTTAACCTCAATAAAAATTTTGCTTAACTTCAAGAGAGATTTTGCATGTCTGCAAGTTCACACTTAAGGCTGAAAAAATCTTTTGACAGACAAAATTTTATCAATTAAGATCAACTGAGGTCAACATTTCTGAACTAATAGAAAAAATTTCACATAAAAACCGAAATGGTTTGAGGAGCTTAAACCCGGTTTCTGAGATTCGGTCATTTTTGCGGTCGTTGTTTGAGCTTTAGGGTCCTTGTAGTTGACAGCTATTTTAGTTCAATTCTCTAAGCAAATAATTATTATGATTTAATCAGCAAAGTTCTCGCCACCCGGAGACGAGAGAACGGGGCAAGTTTCACGAGGGGTTCAACTAACTGGCCCCACACGGTTTTAACGATGTCAAAGCGAGCGATGTTAACTTTGCCGTCGAGCATTGCAGTTACCCGTAAGATAGTGCCCAAAAGAACTGATAGTATCGGCGGTCCACACGAGATCGCCAGTCCGTAAATCACGCTTCGAGCGTTTGTTCAGGGAGGGGCACACTACTTCAAGCAGTCAGAGAAAATAGTTATGCCGTTATTGCTCCCCGTTCTGTAGAAACGGGACCAACAGACAAAATTGGACGGGCATTTAATGATTCCTCCACTTAACAAAAAATGGTGGAAAACACCTAATCGGTTATCTTGGGAGAGTTGATAGGTGCGTGAGCACCTGCTTGCAACTGCGCTTTAACCTTTCCCAAGATCCGCCATGATGTGGCGCGTCGGAAGCTGGATTTCCATTTAATTTAAATATTCTCACTACTGCAGCAAACAGCCACGAACAATTGACCAAAAAATTAATCTAAAATTACCCAATGGCCGCTGCAATTACCCAATGGCCATCTAAAATATAACCCAGCTTATAGCTAGAGAGGTCGGAAATCATAGGATGTATTGTGCTTGCTTTGAGTTTCTACAAACAAAACAACACTTTGCAGATCAGAAAAACAACCACGTGTTTAAAATGAACCGTAAACAAGTCAAGTTGTGAAGTTTATGAGCAAAGTGCGGAAATTTCAGACACATTTTCACCAACAATTGACAAGAGAAAAGATGATGGGATGATTAATTTCCAAACTTTTTTCGGCAAAGCGATGAATCCGGGCCGTAGATCAATAATGCCACCAGGGCCAGAAAACGATGAGTCAGTTGCAACACGAGTGGACTTCTTAACAAACTTACCAGATTGGAAGAGTTTAAAACTAAATGATCGATTCGTTTTGACCCAAAAATTGCGAATTATTTTTCGCAAAACTTAACTAGGCCTGGTATTTTAATTGAGCAGTATGCCCGCGGAAGTGCTTTCGTTTCAGCATAGACCATATGTATCGCTGCCGTTTAAGTAATTATTAGATTTCCTCAAAAATCATAATCAGACTGCTTCGGACTTCCGCATTAGCCCCAATTTTATCTCTTTAACAGTTTAAGGCCGGGCGTGGTTCCGTATTTATCAAGAAAATGATTATTGAGTGTCGCGAGTAGTTTTTCCAGTGTGTGTTGCAACAAACTCACCGCAACAATAAAAACCGTTGAAAAATTGTTCTCTGAGGATTTTTAACTTTGCGAAGTTTTTTGGGTAAGTTGAGGGGGCGTCGTATAACTCAAATCGAAGTCCTTTTAACTATTCGAAGTGAACACGAGTTCACTGGATTCTAATTCAATTTACACGTCTGGGTTTTTCAAAAACCAAAAAAAAATTAGACTGAAAATCGCACAGTTCGAGAGGCTTACGGTTTCTACAAAGCAGCCCAATTTTGCTACATTTAAACTTGCTTTTTCGGGTGTTGATCAAAACACAATCGTGAAATTTAGATATTTGCTAGAAAATTGCTAGCTCCCGTGTTTGACAATTTTGATTTCGAAAGAACTGGAACCTGATCTAAACTACATTTTATGATTGGATAAATTAGATATTTTACCAATGTAAAGTATTTAATATTAACCAATCATGATCCATCTGACTAACAATCCACTTATTTGTAAGTGCTGAAATTACTTGTAATTTCAGCACCAGAGAGATTTGAATTTAACTTAGAAATTAGTTGAACTCTCCCGAGTACTTCAGCAGCCGCAATAAACCAGTATACCCTAGATCTATTGAGCCTAGCAGAGACTAGTTAAACAACCTGAGACTAGACAGTATAAGAGTAAGATTAGGATCGGTATTAGACTAAGAAGTTGCACGAATCTATCCGGCCGAAAATAAGATAGCGTGACGAGCAGACGGTGTACCCTATCCGAAATTACTCTATGAGTTATACCCATCGGACATAACTCATCTGGTGCGACCATAAGTCTCGAACAAGACCTTAATAGCTTAGAATTAACCAATAATAGATTAGAATTTAGACAAAACATTTACAAAATGTTATACGACAATAATTTAATCGAAATGTCTCTACGACTCAATAGATCAGAGCCAATATTCCGAACGATAACAGAACTACCCGGAATTGGAAGAAGACCTCGAACCAGAGACGACATACGACAAAGCAGAAACTTACCATATAGTTATATGATAGTTCGGCAAAAGCCAGAACAAACTTTTGTATTTAGAATACTACTAGCAATGAATTTAGATTTTCATTTGCAAACATAAAATTTTGAAGACAATCTTCAAAATCATTACAGGCGCTAAACAAAATTATTAATATACAATAACGATTGATAAAAAGATCTCAGATCGTTTTCCTAATTTCTGCAGTAATATACAAAACATGTTTAAAAAATATTTATTGAAAAAACAAAATAAAAATTAGTAGCATGACAATAAATGGTTAGTAATTATAAATCATCCTGTTGTTCCAGCTTCATCACCTAAACATAACAGCATTCATAAGCTCACTAATATCATAAAAATACTAAATCTTTTCTTTACACAAATTTAAATCATTTTAAACTTAAATTCACTTAATTTTAAAATCAGATCATCAAGGCTTATCCTTGGATCTTAAATCATTTTCTATTTAATTAAATTTAAAACTTGATCATCAAGGCCTATCCTTGGATCAAAAAGAACAACTTTGTTCTCCCCCACCCACTTAACTAGTGTCTAACGACCTCAAACGTCGATTCACTATCCAACCCTTTCTAAAAACCCAGGACTAATAGAAATTTTTGAACAAAACTAATCATTCAAATTAGGATAAACAGTGAAGAATTTCGGTTATTCATCCTTCACTTGATCCCCCCTCTTACCAGACCCAGGATAAATCTTAGACTTAGTAAGTTTAAAATAGTATCTAACGAACTACTCGCGTTCTAATTATACCTGAACCTTGTGGATCGATTTACTATTATCCAACCCTGAACACAATCACTACCCTTAAGTAAGATTAAGTAAGTTAACACCTTAGCTTATACTAGCCACGAGAAAGTATAAAATCATTCTTCGGAATTGATATACTTTTCTCCCCAACCCTGAACAAATAGACCCAGGTTAGGCTAACAAAAAAATCGTAAGGACTAACAGTTTAAGCAAATAGAAATCATTTAACAACCTTTTGCACCCGTCATCCTAAACCTTATGTCATTTAAAAACCTAGGAAATAAACAAACAATCGTTTTACACAATTGTGAAATAGATAACAAAAAATACGACCTTGTAATCACACCTCATACACAAACAGTTGGATACATTAGAACAAAACGACAAACATTAAAGAGAAAAATAATAACTAAACAAAGACAACTAACACGAAAAAGATTTTCAAAAAATCGAAACGCATTTTCAGAATCAGAAACCAACAGTTTAGACGAACTTTATAAACTAAAAGAATCAATAGATAAAAATTGCCCAATTCACGATCAATTATATTTCTCTGACTCAGAAACAACTTCAAATTCATCAAAAAGAGGAAAAAGAAGAATAAAAAAGCAGTATAAACACAAACCAGTACATTTATACAATTGGAATCAACCAATTAGACACATTGATAATTACATATTAACAGTCATCGAACGAAAAAATGAGCTCAACGCACACCCCAGGTGAAGAAAGTCCAGATTATGATGATATCTTCCCCTTTATCGTAGATGCAACCACTGATAGAGGACAGCATATATTTTGCAAAAATTTACTCTTAAATTTGTTTGAACCCGGAATCAGTCCATGTAAAACAGAGTTCCCAGATGTAAAAATCAAAAGACAAGTTATCGATCACTATCTAAAAGATATATGTAACCTAACACAACAATACGGAATCTACTCCATAGAATTCAACTCACCAAATCAGAATCACAATAAATATATAATTCAAACAGACGACCTTGATTTAGAATTTTCAAAAGTATTCTCAGAATATATAAAAAGCATCCAATATCATAACTCACAAAGAGCAAACTCCATATTCACCAATGAAGTTTTTGCGATAATATATAGTTATATATCGATATTAGAAAACGAAATCCAGATACCAAATGTCTCACCGACAGAAACATCTAAACATATAAAAGTACGACATGAAATCACACTACTCTCTAGTTTTCTAAATATAATTAAAGAAAATTTCACGAAAGATGAAGTTTCCCAACATACAAAACACGAC